TTCGGACGAGGAGTTGGTCCGGGTTCTGGTGAATGATCGCGTGGTTCCGCTCGTCGGGTGCGGCGCGGACGGGCTTGGGCGGTGCAAGCTCGGGGCGTTTGTGGATAGTATGGGGTTTGCCAAGAGCGGAGGGCTCTGGGACCAGTGTTTTGTGTGATTTTGTTTGATTTAATACCCAGGAGTGTAAGGTACCTTAGACGAAGGTAGACTTTGCATTGAATTACAGTACGGAGTAGTAGATGGCGGATGAATTCTACAAGGAACGCATTTCTTAGTTCACTTTGAAGGTCACGACCTCTTGCTACCAAGGTAGATTGAGGGTTGTCAAAAAAGCTTGGGACCAAAACGTGCCGAGTGTCAGTGTCAAGTCAAGTGTCGGGCTTAGGGTGGTGGCACCAAAGTTTCAGTTGACAGGGGCGCCTCAGGGTCCCGGCCCCCGGGTCCGGGTCCGGGTCTGGCAGATGGTGCGGCGGGAACGTTCGTGTTCTTTGGGTACGTGAGAGCTCGAGCCATCTGGTGGTAAAGTCCCTATCGCAGTAGAAAATCCCATCCTCTTCATCCGTACGGAAGACTGAAGATGCAAAAACCAAAGCAAAAGGAGGAAGACTTCCTGTCGAGAGGGTCTTGTACAGCCTCAGCTAAAAGGTAACCGCCTGGCTCATCCGTCCACGTTGCAGCATCTCCCTCCAAGAGCCAGACAGTACCCTTTTGCCTGGATAAAGGCAAAATTACAGTAGGTGGCATCTGCGATAAGGACTCGGCCGGAGAGATATTTTGCTGTCTCAGCTACCTGGATGCAAGGGGGTAGTGGTCACGTCCAGATACAGCCTGCGCTATGAATAGCGCCGGGGGGTCGCACGAATGCCACGTTTGGATCTCGAATTTGGCGCCAGCAAGGAAAAAGCAGGGGTTTTTCTGTATCCGCAAAGCTGGTTTCGTTCCCGGCAGCTCTCCAAAGGAACGTCATTGGATCCTCGCCTGTGGTTCAATGGCATGCAGCACCTCCAACTCCTGCGTTCAGCAGCAGGTCCGTAGACTTGAGGTCTCCGACTACTGCTGTTTATATGTGCAAGGTATGCATGGGTCAAACGTCGACTCGCGGGCCCTCAAGTTGCCTTTGTTGGAAAAAGGTCCCTGCGAAGTGTGTTGAATGGAATGAGTGCACGCATCCTGGCACTCAGCCCGCGCGCAGTCTCTCCTTGCGTTGCCCTGTCTAGGAAACGAACCTCGAGGTAACCAAGTTGGAGGAATCAAGGTATAGATGATTGGGCAGCAACAGCAGCCCTCGAATGGCTTTAGGTAATCTACCTGAAGAGGGCCCCAAGCTGCCGGGTTTTCTTAGATTTGCGAGCAGCAAGGTAAAGTGGAGGATGAGCTAGAGATTGCCCTGATTATTGGAGATGGAGATGGAGAGGGAAGAATGAAGACTGCGGTGCGGGTGCGGGCGGGACGCTGACGGAGCCCGCGGAGCTAAATAGGATTGGGGGCCGTAGGTACCGCGTGAGGGCCGCTTTCATTGGCAGGTGTGCCATTGGGAGCTGCAACCAAGAGCAAGTTGGGTGCACCTTCTTCATCCTTGTGCGCCAACTTTGTTGCATTTTCGTACGGAAAACGGAGTACCTAAGATACACTAAGGTAGGTAGGTACAGTGGGGTGTCAAAGGTTCGTGTGCAGCGCACAGTATCCCACAAAAGTACTACTTTTCAACAGCGAATAAAAAGTTAAATATAATAGGAAAAAGAAATTAAAAATTACTATATAACTAATTAGCTATTATATTAGTATATAACTAAGTTGCACTATGCTTTTCTTGATTATCAAAGCATTAAATAAATCTTTATAAAAATAGGTTTTAAGAGATTTTCATCATAGCGGATTATAGGGCCTTTTGAGTGCGAATAGCACTGTACTTCTTAGTAAATTCTATTTTATTTTATATTATATTTGTATATTATAATATAAAGTACTAATATAACGTATTTTAAAATATATAAAAAATAGTTTTATATACTTTATATACTAAAGTATTTTATTAAAATTTTAAATTATATTATTTATACCTAAGTTAGAAAGATATTTATAGTAATAAAGAGACGTAGTTAGTGGGCTATAGGTGACGCACTGGGAGGGTGTACACGAACTTTTGACACCCTACTGTAGCTGCCTTGCATTTGTCCTGCCCCAATCCTCCACCAAGGAAACAAGCCGCTCTGCCGAATTAGCTCAGGCAAGGTCGACCATTGTTGGAGTTGGTCATTCTTGCCAGGCTACTACCGAGTACCTTGGAGTATCCGTACGCTACCTTACCTTCAGGTAAAGCTGAAAGCTTGGGGGCTACCTACTGCTTTGCTGGCCTCACCTGCCTGGTCTTGCGCGACACCTGCACCTGCACCACCACCGGACCACACTGCGCACGCTGCCTCATCAAACAAGGTTTCGCCGGGCCTGGTTTGTCTGCTTTCCTCTCAATCCACCTTCACCTCACCTCATCTCATCATACTTTTGCTGCGAAGGTTACCGGGACTTTCCACTCTACCGTCTCTTTCACTCTCTTCCCCCTCTCTACTCGCCCTGTATCGTCCGCCTTCTACCCATCCTCTCCCGGACCGGGCTCTCACTCAGCAAAGTACCCGATCTACGTCTTTGTTTCCCAACGGGCGTCCGTGTCCGTGTCGCACACACAGCCCAGAACCAAAGCTTCCCGCGACCAAACGAACAGGCGGCTCAGCGAAACACACCAATCACCAACACCACCACTGCTAACGGTTGGCCCATCTCACACGTCAGCCTTCCCATGAGCCGGACCTCCATCATTCGTCGCACGCCTTCAACCAACATCACCTACTCCTCCATTGCCGTTGCTGAATCGACGTCTTGCTGGTGAGAAACGCTTCAGTTTCCCCCGCAACGCCAAGCGCACTTTCCTTGCATCGTCGCAATTGAATCGCAACCATGGTGTCAGCCGCTGGAGGTATCGTCATCGCCATCCTGGTCCTCGCCATTGTTGGCGGTGCCGGCTGGGTCATCTTCACCCAACTGCGCGCCCGGAGACTAGGTGTACGTAACAAGGCTCTCCCATTCCCTAGCATCCTATTCCCATCATGCTCTGTCTCGCGACTAACCTGCGTTGCACAAAATAGCTTCCACCCCCATCCCTCTCTTCCTACATACCTTTCCGAAAATCCGATCCGCCGCCGTCATACGGACCCCCGCGCCCTGCGCCGAGCGGCATCGCCGGCTGGATCAACGACAAGATCACCTCCTTCAAGAACCGCAACAACCGCTCTGCCGCCGGAGCCTACGAGCAACCCTCGGGCGGTGCGGGTGCACCGCGCCGGGGCTTCGGACCGCTCGATCCGGATGAGGCGTGGGATGCGCGCGTGGGCCATGAGGCCGAGACCTACGGTCCTTATGGAAACTACGAGGAGCAGGAGCTGGGGTACCGCGGCGGCGGCCACAACGACAACAGCTACAGCATGAACCTTGCCTCGACTCCCAACCCCCACGATGAGCCGGCGCGGGGCCGCAGCCTCAGCCGGGATGACGACGGCGGTCTAGGTGTCCACAAGGCTGGCGGCAGGAATCCGTTCGAGGACGACGCTGAGCCGAGCAACATCAGCTTGCGCGGCGTCAGCCCCCGGCCGATTGTCGATACGGGTGCGCCGCAACAGCAGCAGCAACAACAGAAAAAGGACAGCGGCGAGAGCCCGACAGAACGGAGGTCGATCTTCCGGGAGAACGTATGATACGGTAGCGCAGGCTCGAAAACCCGATTGTAAAATTTCCCGTCAATGAGACCGCAAAGCACAAAGATGAGAAACTAGACAAGAGTTTTTAAAGAAGCAGCGGAAGGAAGTTGAAGATGAAATTGAAGAGGGCAAACTGTCTGTTTTCTTCGGGAGGGCAACGCGTAACGAGCATCCGTACGGAAAGCGGGCCAGGAAAGTGGGAGGAACTGGGTCTCCGGGACATGTCACGATTGGGAAATGGGCAAGATATGGTTGTCTTGTGAGAATTCAAAGGCGTTTGGGCTCTGCTTTATAACCTCTATTATCCATGTTTTCTCGCCTGATTCCATCTTTTTTGACGCGGTAGAATATATGAACAGGTTGAACCGCCAGAAAAAACCCTCCCAATGTGTACTACTAACCTTTGGGGGAAGAAAAAAGTTAGCATGCCCGTTTCCCGGTATCCCGCCGGAGCCGTCGGCCAAGAAATTTGATGGAAAAACCTCCGGGGGAAATGATGAGTCGACCGGGTCTCCACCAGTGGATTAGGTGACGACTTTACGAGACATGACCGATACTGAGAAATCCCTCATATATGGTAAAGTCAGGTAAGGCGTGGATGGCCTGCGCGTATTATGTCGGCCGTTCATCTAATGGGAGCCCCCCGGCCGCATACTCCGTCGACGAAGCGCCATTGTCCCCCGCTGCGGTACATCCGCTCCTCGCTTACCGGCGCAGTGTCCCGCCGAGAAAGCCCGGTCGGTGGGAGACCGCCTTCCGAGCTCTATGGGAGCCGGAGTGGGTCGGGAATATCGGTGACCACTCAGCTCAGGTGATATAAGGTATTTTGGTACCGTACGGAGTACCTGGGTGCGCTCCAATCGCGCCGAGCTGAAGAACACATGGGAGTGGGCAGAGGGTGAGATCCGCCCGCTCTCCCCACAGTGAACCGTTGGAACTTGGACCAACTTTTTGTGACCTCATTCCTTTCTTTCCCCTCCAAACCACCCCGCCATTCATTCCGATTTCCCCCCTCCTCCCATCTTCTGCCCCTCCAAAAAAAGATCTCCCCATTTGGAGCTTGCTAAAACATTGATCGACAACCTCCATCTTGTAAAGCATTCTTTTTCAAAGTATACAAGACGTCTACAAAGTCTCCAATTGATTTAGTCCTCAATCGGATTTCTTCTTACGTTCCGATCGCTATTCGTTAGACGATTATAGCTCGCTAGCTGTACAGATCCATAAGCTCACCACCAACGATAGGACACGATGGCGGACCTCAACCTCCAAGAAATCCACGACACCCTCCTCGAGATCGCGACCGAGGCGGGCAAGATGATCATGTCCGCGAACCCGGCCTCAATCGACCAGGACACCAAGCTCAACTGTATGCAGTCCCTCATCCTACCCCTTCACCCCTACATCCATTGAAACGCGCCCTCCCCCCTACCCTCAACACTCTCAAACAAGCCGCAAGATCTGGACTAACTTCTTCCACCACCTCTCAAAACAGCCGTCGACATCGTAACCGAAACAGACCAAGCCGTCGAGAAAATGGTCTCCACCCGCCTCTCCCAACGCTACCCCACCATCGCCTTCATGGGCGAAGAAACCTACACAAAAGGAACCCGCCTCGGCCCCGAACCTACCTTCGTCGTCGACCCCATCGACGGCACCACAAACTTTGTCCACTCCTTTCCCGACGCCTGCATCTCGTTAGGTCTAGCCGTGGACCACGTCCCCGTCGTGGGCGTCATCTACAACCCCTTCCAGGACCTCCTGTTCACGGGCATCAAGGGTAAGGGGAGCTACATGCGCCGCGCCGGTGGTCCGGCACAGAAACTGCCCCTCGCCAAGAACCCTATCCCCCTGAAAGGCCTGGACTCGGCGCTGCTGGCGTGCGAGTGGGGGTCTACCCGCGACGGACCCAACTTCGACCTGAAGGCCGAGACGTTCAAGAAGTTGGCGGCGACGAAGGAGACGGGCGGCGCGATGGTGCATAGCATGCGCGCCCTCGGCTCCGCGGCGCTGAATCTTGCTGCCGTGGCGGCGGGACAGCTGGATGCGTATTGGGAGGGCGGGTGCTGGGCGTGGGACGTGTGTGCGGGTTGGTGTATCCTGACCGAGGCGGGAGGCATCATGGCGGGCGGGAACCCGGGGGTGTGGGAGCCTGCTGTTGACGAGAGGGTGTATCTTGCCGTGAGGGGAGCTCCGGGCGGGCAGAAGGAGCTTGTGGAGGAGTTTTGGGGGGTGATGGGGGATAAGAAGTTGGATTACTCTGTTTGAGAGGGGGTATGGGAGGGGAGTTTGATGATGGATGAAGGAATAAATGAACGTGAATGAGGTTTGGATAAGGTACCTAGATGAGGAGGAAACAGGTCATAGATTTGATATGTAGATCTACAATATAGACCATGTCTTGGAGTCTCAAATACTAAACGTCAATCCCCTTACACCACTTGACAATTTCAATACAAGATACCATATAACCATGTTAGCACCAAAGCAAAGTAAGTTCATTAGCCACGACTAATAAAAAGAGTTCACCCCCCCGGTGGCGATTGGGGGCTACATCTCTTGGTGCTCATTCCGGGACTCGAACTCGATCGCTAAGCCTGTCGTCGAGTAGGCTGGTTGGCGTTTGATATTGTTGACCATGAACCACTCCACCACCCAGCCAGTTTGACCTGACCCGTCGACCTAGACGGGCGCCTGCTGGCTGGTGACGGGGATGGGTTTGAGGGGGGGCATATACCCTTTCAGCCTCGTGGCGGGCGGTGAGGTGGTGTGTCACGTGTAGAAGACACCTTGTGGTTGATGAGGATGGGAGGGGGAAGGTACGGTTGAGGGAAGGTCCGGTCAACGCCTTAGGCGAGGAAGGCGTAAGGTAGGCGGGCCATGAATGTGTGAAAGGTACGTACGGTTGACGACACACGTTTGGTTCGTCTGGCCTTATTCATGTGTAACTACCTTGATTGACTTTGCCTCACTCCCACCTGGATGAGAAAAAAACGGCGATGAGGCTTGGTGGTTGTGATGAAGTAGATGAAGTCCGCACCGTTTTCCCATGTCTACTTGGCAAACTTGGTGTGGGTGTTCGTCCGAAGGCTATTTCCAATTCACATTAACCAGGGAGTGTTGCCACATGAACTATTTCAAAGATGTTGCATTATTTTCATCTTCAGGCGATTGAATATATGTAATGTAAGACGTACCATTTCTCTTTGCTAAGAAGTCCTATCCGGACCCGGCCCAAAGCCGGCAACCCAACCGCTCCTTAGCGCCACGTGGGGGGCCGTAACCCGAACGCCGTTAGTGGTCAATGCTGGATGCGAACCCCCGAACACAAAAGGCCCAACAACCCCCGTTGCCGCGCTGAAGACTACGCCCTCCATTGTCGTGGGCCGAGACCAGCATATTTGAGACTGCGGCGATTGGTTTCCACACAATGTCTGGCTACGGCACCGACCAGATATGAAGACCAAACAACATACAGTCTGCGATGAGTGCAGAAGACGAAAACTTGGCGTAAGAGCCCCGCAAAAGTATGATAACGACCTGACTGACGCTCTGCTTGGCAGTGCGACGGAAAGCAGCCATGCTGCTCTCAGTGTGTCTTCTCTGGCCTCGGTTGTCCAGGGTACAAGAAACACATTGTATTTCGTCAACCCTCATCACCAGGCTCGGTCGCTTCCGGTCAGCGGAAGAAGCGGACACGTCAAAGCAGGACGCCCAATCCCGCAAGTCAGAGGCCGAAACCTCCGACTCAGGCCTTGACTTGGCCACTCAGCGACGTACTCTCAATGTGCATACAAAACTTTGTCCCTGCCGACGAGTTAGGTTCGATGTCCAGCACTTCAAAGCCTTCGCAGTCTCGAATATGCGGAGCATGGGTGGAAGTTCTGCCGGGAATCGTCGGGACAGATGGGAGGCACGACGGACCTTTATCCTCCGCCATCAAAGCTCTTGGGATCTCACTGATGGCCAGAGGCCCCAAGGGGCGAGCTCCTGTCCACGAAGCCATTGAAGCGCACTCCTCGGCGCTCAAGGCTGTAGGGTGCCTCATTCCACGCGCCAACGATGATCCGAACAACTATACCGAGATATCTGCAGCCATTATGTGCTTGTTCCTGTCAGAGGTAGGAGATTCTTCGTCTCTATTCGGTCTCTTGTAGGGACCTTTACTCACATTAGACTGTCCCAGAAATTCTTTCCCACATCGAGCTCTGCAGCGACAGTCCACGCAAGGGGCATCGGTGAGCTAATTCAACTTCGCCCGCCGCAATTCTACGCATCTGGAACACCCCACAAACTCTTCGTTGGCTTCAGACCAATTCTAGTACGACAGCCTGTATTCATCACCTTATCTGTGCTGATATATCCCAGATTCTCCATGCTTTTGAAACTCGGAAATCGACCTTTCTCGGGGCGCCTGAGTGGAAAGAAGAGCCGTTCAGGCGTGTAGTCGAAGACCCGCTCCAAGCTCTCTTGAGTGAGGCCTGCGCCATACCCGCTATTTTCGAAATGCTTGATCACTGTAACGACGATAGTGAACCTGCCGCCCGCGAAGCCGTGGTCCAGTTTGTGGACGTTATCAACCGCCTGGACTTTTGGCACAAGTCAGCAAACATGATGACTATGAGAGACTTTACATATTTACAAAAGGTCCCGCCAGCCGATACCACCAGCCTCGATTTCCCAAATATCACCGTGGCTAACTCATTGAGTCACTACTGGGCGTTCTGGATCATTTGCGTCACCCAGATCCAACGATTAACAGCACACCATCCAAACATCTCACAAGATTGTCTTCTGAAAGTCGGAGAATACCCCGCAAGCGAAGCGGTGACCCAAAAGGTTCTCCAGCTCGCAACTTATATCCTTGAAAGTACAGGCTATTTGATGCAGGAGGACATGAAACTCTATGGCACAGCATCTGCGTTCTTTCCTTTGCACATTGCGAGGGGTGCGCTGGAAATGTTTGGAGGCGATGATGAGGCCATCTGTGAACAGTTGGCAAGAAATGCTGAGATTATACGCCAACAAGGATATGAGGATGTGTTATTGCACAGGCGGACAGTGCTTCTTGGTTGACATTTGGTCTACGGTAGACCTCATCAGCTTATGTTATGGCAGACGTAATTATGGTTGCATAGCAAGGACGACAATGGCAGCACAGCACGGACGACGACGGCAACGACGAGAGTAACGGTCCAAGTAATATCCAATGATGGGAATGAACAACGCGCTGCTCGCCCTACCAGAAATTTCTGGCCTAATGGCAAAGCGCTATGCAATATCTTTGCTCTTCACCACAGTACCGAATGCATCCGCAATTTCAGCCAACGCGATCTTTGTCAAATCCTCAGCATTTGCCCCAGGGATATCGCGGTCACCGACGGCGTCTTCCACAACGATCACGTCCCACCCCTTTTCACTCGCCTGTCGAGCAGTAGTCGAGATACAAACGTGCGCCTGCCGGAGGGAAAAAAAAAGTTAGTCTCTAGTAACACTTTCTTCCACCGAGCGCCTTGCTCGTCCAATAACAAATCATCGTACCATGTATCCGGTCAAAACCACCTTGTTCCTTCCGGTAGCCTTTAGCAACTCTTCCAGGTTCGTACCCGTGAAGGAGCCCGGAAAATTCTTGGCGACCACACTTTCCCCCTCGAGCGGCTTCAGCTCTGAAAATTCCTCGGCGAGCTCGGTGCCGGGAGTAAAGAGGGGGGCACCGGCCGGCACTTCGTGGACGACGTGGACGACGGGAGCCTTTGCGGCGCGGTATTTCTCAAGCAGAGAGGCGATACTTGTTCGGGATGCTTCGACGTTTGAGACTGCTAGCTTGCCGGTTGCGTACTCGTTCTGAGCGTCGATGATGACCAGGATGCTGTCGCTCGTGGAGGTTGTAGAGGCTGGCACGCCGAGCATGGAACGCATCGATACTGCTGCAGACGCCATGGTGATTGTCTCGTTCGCCGCGAAACTCTGGAAAGAAATCTGAAGAAGGTGTTGTACGAGTGGTGATGTGAGCGGATGATGTTGCTAATCGTCTGGCGACTTGTATTATCGCTGGCTGCTGGGTCATATATTGGTCCAGAAAGGTTCCGGGCTTTCGGTGTCTTAGTGTACAAGGGGTCTCCAGTGGATGGCGCTAGGCCAAATAAGGTATCATAATCCGCCAAGACAAGAGATCCCCAGATGATGGAGAACGATCGAGGGGCCTCGAACAGATGAGGAATGACCAATCGGAAGCCATCAAAGTCTACAATGACGCCGAATTAGAGATGTCTTGGCGAATTATGAATCCTATTCTGGTCAAGCGCAGAGTTGTTACTGAGGAACGCCTCGTTTACCGCTACTCGTCCTGCAACTACGATGACAGTCAAGCTCGTGACTCAATGTCGGCCCATCCGCAATCATTGATTATTGTTTCTAAGCTTGATCATCTCCAGGCTTCTATAACTGACAAATCCTTCCTGCTGATTAGTGATGGAATGTGACCATGATTCCCAGTTGATGCTACAACAAACAGACATTCCAAATAGTTCGGCATCAAATTCAAGTATTCTGCCTTTTTGAAGTTTCTCCCTACGCATCTTAAGATGACCTCATTTTAATGCAAGGCAATTGACTTTAGCGTTGTTGTTATTGTCAAGCCCACAGGCCAAACCAAGCCAAAAGTGCTATCTACATGTACCTCTGAAGGGACTACCTTACCAACCATTGTATGCATTTAGGTTGGTAATCGGCGTCTCACATGGATTTGTCAAAACGTCCACTGCTGAATCGCGTTTGCCAGTTGTAAGTCTTGGGTTGGTTAGACGTGAGAAAGCCTTCTTCCCAATCCCCGAAAGGCATCGGAACTTATACAGCATATAGCCTTCCACATATAAGGAAGACTTTGAAACACGTATTCCAACGAAGATGAACGACAACGACACTACGCAATAGCTTCTACCTTCAGTCGCATCATCTACCAACAGCCCCTCTCGAGACGTTACAACGACCGAGATTTCCATTAAACCTTCGACAATGTCTTCCAGAACCAACTTCAAGCCCAGAGTGAGCATCACTCACATTGGAACTGCGACGGCCATCCTTGATATCGATGGCGTGCGCTTCTTGACCGACCCTTTCTTTTCCCCAGCAGGCACCACTTGGGACGTGGGTATCACCATCCTCCAGAACACCGAAGATCCTGCCCTCAAGCTCGATCAGCTTCCTCCCATCGACGCAGTGCTGTTGAGCCATGAAGACCACCCCGACAATCTCGACGAGCTGGGCCGCCGGCTCCTCGACGGCCGGCACGTCTTCACGACCGTGGACGGAGCCAAGAACCTCGCTCCTCGCCCGGCTGTCGTTGGCATGGAGCCATGGACAACCGTGGAGAGACGCATCGGCGGAAAGGATTTCCGCATCACGGCCACCCCGTGCCAGCACCTACCCGGCGGTGAATGCATTGGATTCTTGCTGTCGTCGGACGACTTTGGGCTTGGACCGAACAAGCTGCCGAACGCCATCTACTTCACGGGCGACACGGTTTACATGGACGAGTTGACCGAGATTGCCGACAAGTTTCACGTTCCCATTGCCATGATGAATCTCGGTTCCGCCCACGTGCAGTTTCCGGACAGGGACGCGCCGCTGCAAATCACCATGGACGGCAAGCAGGCGGCTCGTCTATTCCGAGACATCAAGGCAGACCATTTGGTGCCCATGCACTACGACAAGTCGTGGGGTCACTTCACTCAGTTTGAGGAAGGACTGGCGAAAGATTTCGAAGATGAGGGTGTTGTTGACAAGGTCAGATGGTTGAAGCCGGGACTTGCAGTTGAGATTATCTGACTAGCAACGATGAGTCCCTTCATGTAATAGCACATTCTGGATAGCTCATAAATTTTCTATCAATGAAAATGATCGAACAGAACCTGCAACAAGAATTTGGTCATATCTCGGTCTCGACAGATGTTGACGATGCTGTGAGTTCGAAACGCTAGTATACATCATCAGGCCAAAAACACGAGTAATTCAGAAAAGAAAAAGACACACTTCGATAGCCAATCTACGATTATCACCGTATTTTTCACCCTTCGACATCCTTATCTTAGCATGCTGAATGGGGCTTTCAGGATAACGCGACCTGATTGTTGAACCCTGTCCGCCTAAGATAAGTGATTTGGTCAAGTTCATCAAATCTCTCGAAGATTTGTCTATGGAAAAGTCTTCTATTCCTGCATACGGCTTCATATCATCAATCAAGGGCTTACACAAGTTGCGTAGTTGCCGAGGGAATAACCTTTGGTTTCGATGTAGGAGTTATAAGCAATTAGAGAGAACATTTGCGAGATACACCGTCCAGGTCATTATTATGAGTGACCTGTCCTAGCTGCAATGCAATAATAGATGGCTAGCATAATTGTTTTGTCGCCACTGGCCAAAAGAAGAAAAAAGCAATTGGTTTCAAATGTTGCTTTCCACTAATATTACTTCTTGTTCTTTGAAAGAAAGCCGCCGACCCTACAATCCAAGTTCCGACCCATGAAATTCTTTCACCCCACTGTCAGACTTGGCCTGGTCTTCTGGAGAACGAGTTGTAACTTTACATAAACCCGATCAGGCCTGCGTGGACGCTCGTCATCCTCTTCCTTAGCAAGGTTTGCTGCCACTAACCTGAAAGGGGAAGCATATTCCGTCAGTCAAACTTCAAAAGTCGAGGCTGTCATATTGATCAGCTTGTGGGTACTTGTTTGGTTGTTCAGCTTGCGGATATTTCAGTTCGATTTGGCAACGTTAGCAGTCTTAGAAATCACAATGTACACTGACCTGCAAGCCGCCTCAATCGGGTCAGTTCATGTTCCGGACTCAATTCTAGCTTGTATATAGAAGTTCCTTAAGCCCACCGACCACCGCGTGGAATATAATGCAGTCCATCTTTACTCATCGTCAAAACTTTCATTCAGGAATCCCGTTCATCGGCACGAATTTCAATCCTAACCTTCCCGTCTAGGTCATTCGCACAATCTTGGGAAACCGTGTTGGTTGTTAAGTGTCACAGAGCATGCATACCATAGATCGCATCTCTGAATCAGGTCGACAAAGTCCGGTTTATGAACTCAACCTACACGAGACAGCCACGGATCCTGCTCTGGGGGTTACTCCCTATGCCACCAACACCAACAAGACACCGCCGTTCAACCAATGTGTACCCAACCTCGATCGAGCTCCCGAATTTGAAGTGAAATGGGACAGTGGAGATGTGCAGGACCCTTGCTCATGGCCTACATGGTACAAGGCCTTTATCGTCACTACGGTTAGCCTCGGTGCCACCGTAGTCAGCCTGTTCAGCACTCTTTATACCTCCGGGATCCCCGAGCTGTAAGCAGATTTTCACGCCTCCAAGCTTGTCGCACTCCTAGGTCTCACCACATATCTGCTCGGAATGGCTGCCGGAAGCCTAGTCGTCGTGCCCATGAGCGAATCACTCGGCCGGCGACCGCTCTACATCGCATCCATGGCAGCGTTTCTGGCACTCGTCTTGTCGAGCGCTCTGGCTGAGAGTATCGCGACCGTTATCGCCACTCGGCTTTTCGGAGGGTTCTTTGGTAGCACCATGATGTCGAACTCGCCCGCTACCGTCAACGACATCGTTTCAGACAAGCACCGCGCACTTGCTTTAGGGTTTTGATCCATGGGCCCGGCTAACGGGCCCGTCTACGGGCCATTGATCGGTGGTTTCGTCTATCAACATAAGGGTTGGATATGGACGAATCTGATCGTCTTGATCATTGGAAGTGTGATCTTTGTCTTATTAGCCTCTGTGAAAGAGACGTACGCTCCCGTGTTGCTGAAGAGACGAGCCGCCGAAAAGTCCAAGGCAACCGGAGACGATAGATGGTGGACGCGCTACGATCATGGGCAAGAGCTCTGGCCATTGCTAAAGATCAATCTATACCGCCCACTCAAGATGATGTGCACCGAGCCGATCTGGTAAGTCGACCTATACCTCAGCGATTGGAAAGTTTCATCTACGTCTTGATTGGCTTACTGTCAATAGCATGTTTTGTAACACATACATCGACATTGTTTGCGTGACTCTCTATCTCTGCTTCGTCGCTTATCCGATTGCATTTCAGCAGAACCGGGGCTGGGCGCCAGGGATCGGCGGACTGGCGTTTCTGGGGATTGGATGTGGCATTCTCATTCCCATTGCGGCAGAGCCTCTTCTTCGCCGCATCGTCAACCTTCATCAAAAAGACCCGGCCACGGGCAATGTCAAGCCCGAAGCCAGAGTCAGCATCGAATGCATAGGTGCCGTCCTGTTAGCAGTTGGCCAATTTTGGTTCGCCTGGACATGCCGACCTGGAACACACTGGATCGTTCCCATTCTTGCTGGTGTTCCATACGGTGCCGGAAACGCTTACACTCTCATCTACGCAGACAACTACATGGCTCAGTCCTATGGCATCTACGCAGCATCAGCGTTAGCAGGGAACATGGTGCTCAGAAGCATAATGGGCGCGTGTCTGCCGCTTGCCGGGCCATCAATGTATAGGACGCTGGGACTGAGTTGGGCTGGGACATTGCTGGGTCTTGTTGAGATATTATGCGTCTCTGTTCCGGTAGCCTTCTACACTTATGGCTATAAGATCCGTCAGGGGAGTCCTATGAGACAAGTAATCACTAAGCTTTAGACAACTTGAGATTGTACAATAACTCAGGAAACAAAGTAGATCTTAATGCTGTAAATCACAAAGTCAGCCATATTACCTACTCGGCCACTCTGACTCTGGATCCATATGGAATCGTAGTATGAAGTAGTGGGGAAATTGGTCTCGGTGAGCAGCTCATCGCAGTCGGGGCCGTCTGGGCTATGTATTTGGCGAATTAGACATGAACACGAGATACCACGCATGGGGAGCTGAAAAGCCGGAGACGTCGCGATTATCCAATTGGATCATGTTGCACTCGGCGCGTAGATGCATATGCAATAGCTTCTGTGGACGGCAAGGATGACGGGGATGAGCCCTATTTCGTGCTGCAACAAGGCTATTTGGCGATTGGTCGTAATGCAATAAAATCATGTGTCGAACAGTGGCCAAGATTGGAATTTTTGGGGGACTTTACATTTCCCCGCAGGCAGCTTGATGCTTCGACCTTCCTTTCCAAACCGTAAGAGCCATCAACGAGTTTCACCGTGTTCAATATTGGTTCACGCCATATTTTGGCCAAGAGCAATCTCCAGTCGTCATGTGTCTCGCTTGTTTCAAGTTCTGGCACAAGGGCAAAAAAGGGGATGTATCCTCAACTCATTCGGCTCAGGCGTCCAATCCTCTGTCGGCATCCAATCCTCTGTCGGCATCCAATCCTCTATCGGCATCCAATTCTCTGTCGGCAGACAGCCTGCAGGAGCGCCTGTGGATTGAGGCGTATGATGCCCTTGAGGCCGGGGAAAAAAGCATAGTGGAAGCATACGAGAAACTCCTTGTACACAGGCTTGAAAAGTTCTTGGACAAAACCGAAATTACCCCGGCAATACTGAAAAAACGAGATCAAATGAAAAGATTTGTTGACGCCGGGCTCTCAGAGTCGCAGCAAATTGCAGACATTAAGGGGAATATTGAAGAATTCGGTCGAATCTTATCGCCAGTAAAGAAAGTGATGGACGTCGTCGTTCTGGCGGCTCCCCAGGCTGCTATCCCATGGTCTTGCGTCTCTTTCTCTCTCCAGGTCGGTCAATCAGGTTATTTGAAACTTGGCTTACAATCTCTAACTTCACCAGATCCTTGCAAACCCTCTGACGGAGTCCAGTATCAACCGCGAAGGCATTACGTACGTTTTGTCGACGATGGATTGGTATTGCAAACTTGTTGAGCTTCTTATCGACGGCGAGGACCGGTCGAAGACGCTCAGAGATGAACTCGAGAAACAAATTGTCGAGCTGTACAAAAGGCTTCTCCTGTACCAAATGAAGAGCGTCTGTCGTTACTACAGGTCTCAGATCCTAGTCTTACTTGGAGATGTCTTCAAGATCGATGACTGGACGGGAGAACTCACTGGTGTTAAGGAAGCCGAGGATCAGGTGCGGACCAGGCTAGGTCAATATCAGAGCTCGTCGATTTGTGGCGCGCTCAAAACCCTGGCTCGTGCCATGCAGGATCAAACCAACCAATTTCAAGATCTGTCATCTTTGATTCAGAAGCAGTATCAAGCGCAACAAGACAGAGACAAGCACCGGGATAGGGAAAATTGCCTAATTGACTTTCGTCAGAAAGTTGACCCCCATCACGAAAAGGACCGTATACAGATCGAGAAAGGGGGGCTTCTTCGAGATGCTTACTCCTGGGTTCTGGATCACGATAGTTACGGGAAATGGCACCAGGAAACTCATCGCAAGATACTCTGGATCAAGGGCGATCCGGGCAAGGGGAAAACCATGCTCATATGCGGCATCATTGACGAACTAGAGACGGACCCTACTCACACCCTATCATATTTCTTCTGTCAAGCCACCGAGACGACACTCAACAATGCCACTGCTGTGCTACGGGGGCTTATCTATGGACTTGCAAAGAGATATCCGCAGGTCGATCGGCATATCTACGACAGATACAAAGATGGCGGCGGAAAGGCGGCATTCGAAGGAGACAGCGCGTGGGGAGTGATGTGCGGTATTATGAACGCCATACTAGGTGATCCAATGATGAATGGTGTGCTATTGATTGTAGACGCTCTCGACGAATGCGTGGAAGGTCGCCAGAAGCTTTTGGATTTCATTTGCGAGAGATCAAATGATTCTCGTGCCAAGTGGATAGTGTCCAGCCGCAATTGGCGGGAAATCGAGACAAACCTCGAGAGGATCACGGAACGTACATCGGCGCTGTCCCTGGAGCTGAACAGCGATCTTGTTTCCTATGCTGTTCGCATGTACATTCGAAGAAAGGTTGACAAGCTCGCTGAGAAACAACCTTATCATGACGACTTAAAACTCCGCAACCACGTCGAGAAGTACCTCAACGACAACTCGAGCGACACATTTCTATGGGTGGCATTGGTCTACAATGCGCTTCGTCAAGACAACATTATAAGACGAAACCACGTCATCGGACCGAAAGGGGTTCTGCGAACATTCCCTAAAGGGCTCGATAAGCTATACAAGCGCATGTTCCAGTACATTTCTGGTACGATGGATGCAAATCTATGCAAAGATGTTTTGGCCGTCACATCGATCCTAGAACGCTCTATCACATCTCTTGAACTTTGCTCCATCATGGGCCTGTCGCAGCATTTTGACGGTAAAGTTGAGACCTTACAAGATGCCGTGCGATGTTGTGGTTCTTTCTTGAGTCTTCGAGATGGAACTGTTTATTTCGTACACCAGTCAGCCCGAGATTTTCTACTCGACAAGGAGGAAGACACCTTTGCCAATCTTTTCCCGGGCGGAGTCGAGGGTTTGCATTGGGCAGTGGGTTTGAGATCATTGGATGCCATTTCCAAGGTCATACGTCGCAACATCTATGAACTAGAAGATGTCGGCATTGCCCAAAAGGATATCATCATGCCTAAACCGAATCCTTTGGCCTCTGTTGCATATTCTTGCGCTTTTTGGATGAGACACCTGGGAGAATCAAGTACTGAGAGGGACATCGAAGACTATGAGTTTGTCAATGAGTTTCTTCGAACCAACTTTCTGTACTGGCTCGAGGCCCTTGCTCTCATCGGTGAGCTGTCGCAAGCAGTACAAGGCATACAGAAGCTTCAAAATTTGATCGTAAGTTAAATTGCAACTTCCATGAAGTTACGTTAAGATCATAAGCTAACAATGATTCAGAGAGGAAAGCCAGCCTCGAAAGAAGAAAGTATAGCAAACTTAGTCCATGACGCAAATCGTTTTTTACTATATCACAAAGAAATGATTGCCGGGTTTCCCTTACAAATCTATGAGTCAGCCTTACTATTCAGTCCTGAAGAGAGTGTCGTCAGAAAGCACTTCTTCAAGGATCACGCACCCAAATGGATTTCGATAATGCCAGGCTTGGATAGGACGTGGAATACGCGCTTGCAGTCTCTGATCGGGCATGAATCCGATGTCGATACTGTGGTATACTCACCAGATGGCCAGTGGATTCTTTCTGGCTCTGCAGATGGCACTGTGAAGCTCTGGCAAGCAGAGAGTGGACATTGTGAATACACATATGGTGGTTTCGGCGAAGAACTTTACGGTCGGGCCAAAGTACTCCGAAAAGCCGGTGTGCGGTCAGTGGCCTTTTCAGGGGACAGTCAAACATGTACCGCCGCGTCCAGGAACGGAGTCATTAAGGTCTGGGATCTGAAAACCAATCAAGTCGAGAGTTTCAGAGGCCACGAAGAGGAGTTGGTGGTCACGACGATGGCCATCTCGCCAGATGGTCGCACTTTTGCATACGCCCTGAAGAACAAAGGGGTTCATATATGGAGCATGGACAAGGAAATCTCTACGCGCACAATCATGGCTGATATCGACAACATAGTCTCGCTAAGCTTCACGACAGACGGTCGATGGCTTGCTTCGTTCTCTCAAAACGACAATATCAAGATCTGGGACACTTTGACAGGAGACTGCAAACGAGAAATTGACGATAGGCCGGTTGGGGGGGTGGAAATCTCGGGCGATGGACAATTGATCGCGTCATGGAGTCCTCTCGTTTGCATTTGGGAGACAAAAACTGGCCGGCTGGTTCGCAAATTCGAAAACAGAGGCTCTTGCTGGCTCCGATCTATCAAGTTCTCAAAAAATGGAAGGCTTTTGGCTGTCTTGACCGATGAAGAAATCTTCATATACAACACGGCAATGGGCGAGCTTACCTGGGAGACCTCACATGATGGGGGTCGTGACGATCCGTTGGCATTCTCACCGAACAACGAAAGACTTGTGGCAGGATGTTCTGATGGCACCGTCAAAATATGGGATCTAGCAAAAGGCAATAAAAACATGGCTAGTGGTGGCTTTGCGCAGAGTTTTTGCTACTCTGATGAATATCACTTCGCAGCCTCCTACCCCGACTGTCAGGAGATCGCAACGTGGGGCAGATCGACCGGACATGATGTGGAAGTACATAAATTCCATGCGGAGAATGTGGAGTTTATTGCCATGTCCAAGGATCATCAGAAACTTGCGTCAACTTCTTTCAGCGGTCAGGTTACTGTGTGGGAGACGAAAACCGGTGCCCATACACAGCTATTTGGCGCAAACTCAGCGAATGCCAAAGGAGATGACATAAGTGACGACATAGATGACGAAACTGGCGGCCGTTTGGAAAAGATCACGTCCTTGGCCTTTCGAAACAGCTTTCAGCTTGCCTGTGGCGGCTATCAGACAATCAGAATTTTGAACACATCTGATGGTACCATCGCGCAAGAACACTCCGAAGCTGATGGATTTGTTCAGCTCATGGAGTTTTCGACAGATGGCCAATGGCTCGCCTATCAGTCTCGTCCTCGAAAAAAGGTGCAGCATAGCCTCAGACTTTGGAGCACAGCGACTGGAAAAAAATTCTTATTATCCGCTCCCAGCACGTTTGGTATGCCCACCCTTTCACTGAGCTTTTCCATGGATGGCCAGCTGCTTGTGTCGACTTCGCGGGACAGTGTGTATCTGTGGGATGTGACAACTGGTCATTGTATACGTCAGTTGGACGGGCTTGGGGTTGTTCTGGCATCTTTTGATGCAGGCATAAACAGACGCCTGAACACTCAATTTGGATCCCTAACCATCGAAGACCCAGGGTCAGGCTGCCTGGGCCCAGACAACTTGGATGCAAACATCCGTGGATATGCCGGAGCAGCGGCCCAGGGCCTTGAAATAGCACCATGTGCAGAAGGTTCAAGAGAAAGTTCACAGCCACCCCTTCGCGGGTATGGTTTAAGTTTCGAGCTCGACTGGCTGTTGCTAGATGGGCATCGATTGCTTCGGATTCCGCCGGACTATAGATCAAATTATTGGGGAGAAATGACACCGATGCTCAATCAGTCAGCACTCATGTGGATAAGCGGGACAGGGAGATTGGTACGACTGTACTTTCCGTCACAAAAATAGACTTCGAGAGCATTTTGGCGAAGCAATATCCCATTGAACGACGCATAACGTCAAAACAGGGGTACTGTCGGATTGGAAGTCCAATTCGACCGCGGCATACGGCCAAATGCGCAGGGGCCAATTGGGGGCCCTATTTACGATTATCGTAGCCAGCCCAACCTACGGTTGGAACCTCCTTTTTACACCTACGCAGAAATTCATATAGTTCAATTGATCTCTTCGTCAACCCACGGTTCGAACCAACTACCCTGTAATAGGGATACCAACAGGTACTCAGTATCTCTGAGGGGTAGCAATGGACCATGTATTGTTCTAGCTTACTGCGTATTGAAACCGTCTTATTTCAGCTGTTTGCACTTAGCTAAGAAGTATAGAATTTGATCAGTGTTGGAGAAACTGCAGAGGTACATTTGACATTATCTAACACTCGATGGAATACCGTCATGAAGTGGAGTTGAAGCCAGTAATAAATGTGAGATTCGACTGATTCCGCAAAATTGTGCTGGTGAATGGTAATGTAGACGTTGCAATCGCACACAGTACCGCGAGTCGCTTAAGGAATAAGGCACCATGGAGCCATTTACTACATCCCTTACGGCGAAATAGGCATAAGGAACCAGCCATCTTGACATGGGGAAGACCCCTGGATATTTCTCCTCCCCTTACCTAAGATACATAAAGCAGTACAATATCGTCGAGGAATACTGAATCTAACTGTCCCTTCGACGGCAGTTGGAAAGGGTTAAATAGCACAGTCGACTGTTAATTTGGGCAACCCAAGCACGTAGGTTGATCGCTGTACCTTAACCCTATGTAGCGCCCCTTACAGCCGAAGTAGAACCCGAGATATGTTTTCTCCCCTTGTTGGTATATACCATCGGCAGGGCAGGTAGGCCCTTGGGCCGGTACGAATTTCAATATGTTGTAGTGGACTGCTTATGAATACCGAAGGAGGAAATTGGTAAGCAGATCCCACGAATCCTCCCTTAGGTGTAAGTGGGTGAAGGGGCCGTTTGTGACGAGGCTACCACTTCCCGAATCCGTCAAGATTCCAACTTCCCTTTTTTCTTTCGATAAATGAGGTTTTTATGTAGGAACTCCGGTCAAAATCAATCCCGACACGACATCAGGCAGCCTGGTAACACTATCAGGTAGCTCCGGCGGAGCCTGCCGGTGGCGTCGGTGAGACAACATAAAGTACCACGACACTGCTCAGCGACGATCCTTACCACCCATCCACATGCTTTCATTGACCGAGAAGAAGTAAACTTCCCACTCAAAAGGCGCGATCGTCCAAACCGGAGCCAATTTGCCCCCCGGCGAGACCAAGATAGAGATCAAAATCACATACCATCGAGCGACAGGAAGCCGCACACTCACCATCGCGCGTCACATCACACAAGACCAACGAGCATCACTCCCCCACACCGGAACCCATCAAACAGCATCAACCGCATCATTCACAGCGAAGACAAGAGACGTCGTCAAAGGCGGCTCTGTTCACGACGTCGAACGGGCGTGGGGGTTGACGAGAACGTCAGCGCCCTATAGGATGGCGTGCGCGGGGTGGGTGGGGCGCGCCGCCAGGGACCATGGCACACCCTTGTCTCTGGCCGTTGAAGAGTCTCATTTTGAGAATTAAACATTTGATATCGGAGGATGTCGATGTCAAATGCCGCTAAATCACAATCCCATCAAGTTTCGAGTGGCAAACGTCGAGGTGGCCACCTTGTTGGACAGCGCAAAGTATCACGTTGGTAGGCAATCATGGCGGTGTGTGGTTGCCACCTCGTGATGTGATAGGCGGAGATCAGCGCCGTTGGACGTTTCCCAGAGCGGAAAACTCCTGGAACCTGCGGGGGGGGGAAACACAACAAAACAGACACACAAGGGTGGCTAACTCTTCTAGCGTTCGCCACAAGCGTTTCCCTCCAGGTAAGCCAGCTTGTGACTCAAGACTGTTGATCTCTACACGTGTGAAAGGGCAACGATAGTCAAAGAGCGTCGTTAGCGACCGAGTGCCACCCACCCCACTCCCCACGGCTTCACACCCCTCCAAGGATTCCAAACGGGAACTAGCGCAAGTTCCCATGAGGAACCCTGTCGTGGGGCCAGCCGGAGGACGATGCCTGCAGATGGGGATGCGGGGTGGCGAAGAACAGATTCAACGTCGCTGAAAGGGGGGTTGTTTGATGATATTTTGGGTTGAAGCGTCGGTTTAAGAGAAGGAGAAGGAGGAGGGAGCTGTGATGAAGCAGAAATCGAGGTGGGAGCAACGCACTTGGTGGGAGGACGGGTTGGTCGAAAAAGTCGGTGGAGTTGGATGGCGGCCCAGCACTCGTGTTGGGACTTGGGAAGAGGATGGAGGTTCGGCGAGCTTGTTACCGAGGACTGTCCGTACGAAGAAGGATAAGCGGTAAATGCATTTAAGCCGTATCCCGGGATTCTCTAGCGGCGTTGCATGTGGGCGGTGGAGAACTAAACACGGAGCGTAGCGGTGGGTACGGGCTTGCGGGCGGCGCTAACGATCGTGGTGGTGCGTGTCACTCGAGGTGAGTTGCGGAAAGCATAATTTCATGCTGGCGTAAGAATGAGATACCTTAGCTCAGATGTGAGATAAGCTTGCAGGCAGTGCCATTAGGGCGCGAGGACGAGGAGCGTTATCTCGCAGCCGGGTAAAAGGACGACATACCACCTGCGACCTAAGGTGAGGCCATAACAACCTTGGGTTGACCTCTCTGTCTCTGCCACCGGGCAGGACGCACGCAGGCACGCAGGCACGCAGGCATGCAGGGTGCACTGCAGCTATTGTTGATGAAAGAGGTACAGCTTGGGAGATTTGACGAGCGTCGCGTCGCATCGGCCTCGAAACAGTGTGCAGCAAGCACTTGTCAAACCCGACCTTCCGTAGTGTACGGATAAAAGGGAACGTTGATGCGGAGAGCAGAACAAGGCAGGGCAAAGGCAGGGCAGCTGCGTGGTGCTTCCTTGCCTGTCAACAAATGCATCGACGGGGGACTGGGGACCACCGAGGTCGGCGCTGGGGTTGATTGCGCTAAGAGGGCCTGCAAGGTGGATGGACGGGCTTGCGAGTTGCGACCTTGTGCTGGCCCTGGTTTGACTGCCGCTCGTCCACTTTCTGTGTTGCTATTCGCTTTATCCGTACGGAGTATGTATCCGTAGTGTACGATTGTTTTGAAGCTGGGGCCAGGCTTGACTGGGGATGGCTTCTGTTCAAGATCTGCTACGTTTTGAACCGATCGCTTCCCTTGTGAGCCCTTGGCCTCGGGCAACCTGAACCTTGAAAGGTTCCACAACATCGTCATAGCTATGGCCCTCGCACACCGCATCTTGTCAGAAAAAGACTGTAGGAGGGCTACCCAGAGTCACAGTCCTTGGAATGGGAAATTGGTATAGTCTGAAGGGGTGGCTCTGCTCGTCCCCAGCCATAAAGTAAGGCAGCAGGCGAGAAGTAAGTGTTGGGTGGCATAGCGGTTTAGACTCGTAAAAAATGACAAAAATGGAATTGGTGGTTGTCAGGCGACGTGGTCTTCGTGGACGCTCCATGTGGGTTCGCAACAATGGTCCGGTGTCGTCTGAAGTGCGCACATGCTGAGCCGCAGTAGCGCATAACACACTCCAAAAGTGGTTGTCGAGGTTGCTGCCCAGGAAATGTGGACGATGCAGTCCATGGTGGCGGAGAAGAAGGAGGAGGAGGAAGAAGACTGCGAAAGACGGCCAAAGGTGGGAACTTTGAGAGTCAACGGGAGTCGGGAAGTGCTGGTGCGACGAGCCTTTGGTCCAATGGAGAGGTCCAATGACTAACGAACTCGCATACAAGGATGCGGCGCACGCTAGACGATGAGAATAGCTGGGGCTTTACACAGTGCAGAGAAACTTGTCCCAATCAGCCGTCCCAAGTGCGTCGGAGCCGCCAGCCAATAGCACCAGCACCCATGGCAGAATTGGGCCATGAATTGGAGCAAGGAGCAAGGAGCATGGAAAGTCGTGAGAAAGTGGGCGACAACGGGCAGGCATCGGCCGGGTATGTAATTTCGCTGTGCAGACGAAGCCGCCCTTGGTGCTTCAATAGACACTCTGGACCGGCCCAAAACTGATGATCCGTGGAGCTCTCAAGGCTTTTGTCGGTCGATGCTGGTCGTGTCATGCAGTATCTTGTGTGCTTGTTGCAATCCTTGCGGTGAAGTCGTTACATTCAGCCAGGGGGACCGGAAACCAGTCCCCGGCACTCGCGTGGGACAATCGGTAGTCATCCGCTGGTGACGGGTTTCGGTGACGTTGACCGAAATCTTTTGACTGCTCATGATGATGACCGCCGCGGACTGACATGAATGAAGAGAGGAGAGAGGAGGCGAGGTGTGCGTTGGGGCTGGTTGTTGGAGGACGAACCGGCTTGTTTTTCGGTGAAGATGAATTTCCTTTTTGAGTGAGGCTGTCGTGGTTTCGAGAACTAACAACTCATCATCCAATGTTCCGATGGAGGGAGGGGTGCAATGTCACTGACTGGCGGCCGGCAATAGTATGCGGAGTGTCAATAAGGTAGGCGCAGATTGCTTTCTTAGTTGCAGGCGGCAGTAGGTTTGGAAGATCGTTGGAGCAAGCGTGCGTGTGATGTGGTGGTGGTGGTGGTGCTGCTGCTGCTGCTGCTGCTGATGGTGGTCAGTTGGGTCGGAGACAAAAAGGAAATGGGAAGGAAGCCGTCGCAAGTGTCTAGTTCGCGCTACTTCCATCCGACGAACCGAAGACCGACAGCCGGTCTTCTTTCCTCCACCTTGATGCATCGCACTTCACCTTGATCAGCCGCCGTCAAGTCAGAACGAGCAAGAAAACCCACCACACACGACACACTCCCGTCTGAGTCTCTCACACGACACGACAATCGACGGACGAGCTACTGCATCGACAAGGAATCGTAGTGCAACTTGTAAGCGGATATTCCTCTAGAGCCCGTGCACTCAGCATCCTGGACTCTCTGGAGCCATGTGGTGGAGAGAACATGATAACTTGGGAACTTGCAATGAGAAAGTGACGGGAGCATAGAAAGAGAGAGAAAAAAAAACAAAAAAGGACGCTAAACTAGCGCAAGATCCCTCCCCCGTCACCTGCATGGAGTATCCGTAGTCCTTAGAGGTAGCGGCAGCGGCAGCGCCACTTATGCAACTATCCCAGGCCGAAATCCGCTCTTCTTCCGCATATCTGCATACCCTATCCGTACTACGCAGTAGACTGAGAGTCTGAGGTGCGGTACCCTGGCGCATGAGCTGCGTGAGGTGCATCGTTCAGTCCGTGCAGGCGCAGTCCATCAGTCGAAGCTCCCCCCTCCATGGCTCCTTCCCTGTCGTCGCGCGGCCAGACTTGCTGCTTTCCTCGGATGCCGTCGGTCTGGAAACCGCAATTCCCCTGTTCTCTCCACCTGGCTGTCTCTTGAAGTCTTGCGATCCTTGCAATCCGGATCACTCAGGATGCACTCCATCCATCCCACTTGAGCAGAGAGCCCCGCCACACTGTGTCACTGTGTGCTGAAGGACGGGACGGTGTAAGTCGTATCAGACGAGGAAAGAAAGCGAGACGGGACGAAAAAAAAAAAAAAACATCTCGCTCACGCCGCCCGTCATATGCATTCCTCCCACCAGTGACCTGCCGCAACTCTCTCCCATCCCACCGTGCAACTCTACTGCATCCGCCGGCTTCCTCTCCCGCTTGCATCCGCCAGTCTTCTTTTCTTCTAGCTCCATCAGGCACTCCGGGTTGCTGCAAGCGCTTGTTTCCACCCTCCCACCCTGCGAGACTCGGGAGAAGGCCGTTATCGTACACGGATCCACGTCCAAGAACCAATATTTACCTCCCCTCCTCTCCTGCTTCCGCTCTTTGCCAACATTCCTCTTCTCTCTCCCTCGACAACATCTCTTCTGAAGACGGACGAAACATCTTCTTGTGTAGTCGCATCCTACAAGACGTCACCGCCGCCGGCCAGGACAGGAGGAAACGTGTATAAGCGTACACGCATCCCGACATTTCATTCTTCAAGTTTCCTACGTTCCAGTAGATTCTTCGTCGAGTGTTCTGTCGCATCGTAAGACTTGAACCAAGTCGAGAGACAATGGCCCTAACCATGCAGAAAAGCCCTCGCAACCCAGACGACTTTCCCACCATTCAGCTCTTCCTCCTTGGTACGTCCGTCCACCACTGCATTCCCTACTGCCACAACCACATTCCTTCACCTGACATTCCCTGTCTTGCCGCGTTCCAACCATACACATACACACCCACATACACACCCAACACCATCTCTTCTCTCCAGCCACGCATACTAACGCCGCACTTTCAGCGATTGTTCGTCTCGCCGAGCCCATCGCTCTCACATCCATCTTCCCCTACGCCTGGGCTCTCGTCAAGAGATTCGAAATCGGCAACGCTGAAGATGCATCCTTCTACGCCGGCCTCCTCATCTCCTCCTTCTCCCTCGCGGAGGCCCTGATGGGCATGTACTGGGGCGGTCTCTCTGACCGTATCGGAAGAAAACCCGTACTTCTCCTGGGATGCGTCGGCACAATGTTCAGCATGGTCATGGTCGGCTTCGCCTCCAACATTTGGATTGCTCTGGCTGGCAGAGCTATCGGCGGTCTTCTTAACGGCAACATCGGCGTCATCCAGACCATGGTTGGTGAATTGGTCACCAAGCCTGAGCATGAGCGTAAGAGTCCTCTCCCCTGACCACCAAGCCTCGCATTGTGCTAATCTTGCAGCCCGCGCTTTCTCGGTTATGCCCTTCGTGTGGTCTATTGGCACAATCATCGGTCCCTTTATTGGCGGTACCTTTGCCGACCCCCACGACGCCTTTCCCAGCATCTTCCCTGTCGACGGCATGTTCTACCGCTACCCGTACCTTCTGCCCAACCTCGTCTGCGCCGGTCTCCTGCTCGTCAGCATCATCCTGGGCTACTTCCTCCTCGAGGAGACTCACCCCGACATGCAGCCTCGCGTCTTCATGCCCGACGACACATACGCTTCCGAGGAGACTCCCCTACTGGAGACCTCGGATGCCATGAAGAGACCTGCCGTTGACCTGAGAGATGACAACTATGGAACTGTCCGCGGTCACAGCGCGCAAACCCCCGCGAAGAAGGCCGACCAGTCCTACAACATCTACACCAAGCCCATCATGTCGCTGATTCTGGCGCTGTGCATCTTCACCTACCACTCAATGACCTACGACCATCTCTTGCCCATCTTCTTCGAAGACGACCGCGCCACTTCCCCGATCACCGTTCTTACCGACGCTTCGAGCCCCTTCTACACCCCTGGCGGCTTGGGTCTCTCGCTCCGCGCAGTGGGCATGATCATGGCAGTGAACGGTGTCATCGCGCTCTTCGTACAGGCAGTCATCTTTCCATTCGCCGCCGAGAAGTTTGGTGTCTACCGACTCTTCATCATCGTCACCGTCCTCCACCCGATCGCCTACGTCATGGTCCCGAGCCTGCTGTTCCTTCCCGAGTCGCTTGTGTACGCCGGCATCTACTTCTGCTTGGCTGTTCGCAACGTCCTTTCCATCATCTTGTACCCTCTGCTCCTCATCTTGATCAAGGAGGTCACTCCCACTCCCAAGGCCCTGGGCAAGGTCAACGGTCTCGCCGCCAGCGCCGCCGCTGGCTTCCGCATGATCGCTCCGCCTGTTGCCGGATGGCTGTACACTTTCGGAAGCAAGGTTGATTGCACGGCTTTGGCATGGTATGGCAGTGCCGTCGTTGCTGTAATTGGTGCTATCCAGTGCTTCTCCGTGAAGCGTGAGCGCAAGTTGGATGTGAGCGAGGAGGACGCCCAGCCTTGCTTGCAGAAGAAGGAGTCCCGAGTCAGCATCAGGGAGGTGTTCTCGGACGAGGAATGAATGTGTTGTCAGATGAATGCGACGAATATGGTCTGAGCGGGGAGATTTCACGAAACGGAGTTCAAAAAAGATTTCACGACCCAACCAAAGCATGAGAAAGGGCTATAGAAGGGGAGTTTGTTTGCTTTTCTTCGGTCGAAACAGTACGGCGTCACGGATACGGGCTCGAATTTTGGAGTTGGTCTCATCCATGAGTGTCGGATAGACTAGAGACGCTTTTTTGGTCATTGGCGGGCATGGAGTTTTGTTGCATTTATTCGGCGTTGGGAGCGGCTATTACTTGGTCATTTACCATAACTAGTTAATCACTCTAATAGAATTGAAGTCATTCTGATGAACTTGGCATTTCCACTTGAATGTGAATTGGCTGGGTGATTTTTATAACTCCAAATCAACGGAATATGTTATTTAATTACTCGAGTCAATCATCAGCTGCGATGAATTGTTCAGGGTAACTTCTTCTGCGCTCAAGTGAGGTTGAAGAGTCAGAATTCTACGAGGTTCGCAGCTCCTCCATGAACTCCAGAATTTGAAAGATCTGCCCAATGAAAATCGCCACCGTAAAGCCGACCACACACACAAACTTCAACTCACCTCCGAATTTTTCGCTCAATCACAGGCTCACAAACAACAAGCGACAAATCTCATATGAGACTCATCAGATTCACACCACAACCTGCAACTCGTTCAGCTGAGACGAACCATTGTTTACACAGCCTCTCAGACAGTTTGCGACTTGACCAGTGCCAGGCAAACTCAGAAACAGAAAACACTGAGCAACAATCACACCGCAGAAAAAAAAAGCGGGGACGCATCCTCATCCCGCAACAATGGTCCAGATGGAAGAAATCACAGACCAAATGGCCGACGCCATGATCGCCGAAGTCCAGCGCCGCGACGCAGAGCAAGCGGCAGCAGCACAAGCAGCTGCCGCCTCCATCCCCGGCGCAGCAAAAGGCGCGGCCCTCCCGCCCGGCCACGCCTTGCTCAGCGGCAAGACGGCCGACGAAGTCCTGGCCGACCTGAACAAGTCCCCGCTCTTCATGACCTCGCTCGAGGAGAACGACGACGTCGCGGCGCTGCAGGCGCTCGCGTACGAGGGGACGGCGAGGGAGAACGGAGAAGAGTTCAAGGAGCGCGGGAACGAGTGTTTCAAGGCCAAGATGTACGCTGACGCGAAGGAGTTTTATGGTAAAGGGATTGAGATCTTGGCGGTGGAGGAGAAGAGGAGGGCGAAGGGGGAGAAGACTTTTCATACGGAGAAGGCCAAGGTTGAGGGCGAGAGCGCAGCAGGGGAGGGAGAAGAAGAAAGAGATGTCGAGGTTGAGGACGACGAGGAGGAGATCGCCAAGCAGAGATCCGTCCTGGAGTCGCTGTACGTCAACCGCGCGGCGTGCCACCTCGAGCTCGGCAACTTCAGGTCGTGCTGGACGGACTGCGGCCTCGCGCTGCGGCTGAACCCGAAGAACCTGAAAGCCTACTACCGCTCCGCGCGCGCCCTGCTCAAGGTCGAGCGCATCGCGGAAGCCGACGACGCGTGCGCGAGGGGCCTGGCGCTGGACGAGGGGAATAAACCGCTGCAGGCCGTGGCGCGGGACATCGTCAAGGCCGCGGAGCGCGCCGACGCCAAGACGAAGAGAGAGCAGGAGAGGAAGGCGGGGGAGAGGAGGCGGGAGATGTTGTTGAGGGCCGCGCTCGCCGCGCGGGGGATCAAGACGCGGACGACGGAGCAGCCGCCCGAGATGGAGGACGCGCGGATGAGGCTCGTGCCTGACGAGGAGGATCCGGCGAGCAGTCTGAGTTTCCCCGCGGTGCTGCTGTACCCCCTGCAGATGGAGAGCGATTTCATAAAGGCGTGGAACGAGACGGAGTGCGTGGGGGATCATTTGGGGTATATCCTGCCTCTGCCGTGGGATCAGAAGGGGGAGTATGCTAGCCCGGCCGGGGTGGAGTGTTACATGGAGACGGCGGCGGGCGGGCTGGTCAAGGTTGGTAAGAAGGCTTCGCTGTTGAAGATTTTGAGCGGCGGGAGTGTGGAGGTTGTGGATGGGATCGTGAGGGTGTATGTTGTTCCTGTGGCGAGGGCCAAGGGGTGGGTTGAGGAGTTCAAGGTGAAGAAGGCTGCGGAGAAGAGGTAGTCTGGCTTCGGGTTGAACTTGACTGCATGATGATTGAATGTTTAGAAGAGAGGCATCTGCTGCGGTTGCGAAGAAGGAAGTCTTGATGATCAGACATGTTGACTACTTTATTAAATGCTTTTGCATTTCACCAAACACCGTACTTAACCCCCGACTTTTCAGAAATGAAGCTGGAAAGCAGAGACAATAGACTTGTCGAGTTGATCTGTTCCATCCGGAAACATTATTTGGGCACCCAAGAAACAGAAATACAAAGTGAGTGCGCGAGCAAAAACATGGAAATCTAGAATACGTTCAAGTCGTTCGAGTCATCCATCACTTCCCTTCCCGTTCTTTGTCCCGTCCTCCCCAGTTAGTTCAAGCGGACGTGGCCCGCCGCCGCTTGCTGCGGTGCAAGTCAGAGCTGTCCAAGTCGCTCTGGTAGCCAGACTCCTTACGAGACGCCGTCTTGAGCGTCATGAGGCCCAGAGCAGCATTCTGCTCGGCAATCTCGGCGTCCGACTCTTCTTCCTTCCGCCGCGTGTCGAACTGAACGCTCAGCGTGGGGCTGCTGACGTGGATACTCTCGCCAACGCTACTGTCACAGCCGCCATCGCCGTCGTCGTGATTGACGGGACGCTTTTGTGACCACGGCGGACGAGGGGCCGGCGTGTGCCTATTGTTCAGGGGCGTGAAGCGGGGGACGGCGCTGAGGTACGGATGAGGTGTATGGGCTGTGCGGTAGATCTCGTCGGCCAAGCGGTACGGCTCTGGACGATTCGCAGCCACCCATCCGGAAGTGGGTGGCTGCGAGTGCCGTGCCGGGGTCTGGTGATATCCGTAGCTGTAGCCGACGCCGTCTGAGCCGTTGCTGGACGCCGAGTCTGGGCACGAGCGAGTGCCGCCCTCCCCGTCGTTATCGCTGTAGGGGCTCATTAGACGAGTCGTGTTAAGTCGGAGTCTTCTGTCGTCGCGAAGGGGTCGCATGGGGCGCCGTTCAATGTTGGGCATGTGACCGAGGGTCATAGGCGGGAGAGCGCGGTGCTGTACTTTTCGTGACCTGTCGGCATCCTTGATGGCGTCTTCGACGATACGGTGGTCTATCACCATGCGTTGGTACTCTGGCGAGCCTGGCGGGACGCACATGGACGGAAATGAAGGGCCAAAGATGGGGATAAGGGCTCCGGCGATATTGTAGCAGAACGTGGCACATACTGCCTTGGCACATTCGTACGGCATCCAGTACCCTGAAACAGTTAGTTTCCAGAATTCATAGTTGGAAGAGACATTTCAGCCAACCTTGAGCTGCTATTGCGCCTCCCGTGATGCTGTGCGTGATATCCTTGAGTCCAGGGTTCAGGCTCAACATCTTTGCCGGAACAGTCTGTATATGTCAGTAGAGTTCGTATCATAGAGTTACGAAGCCCTACCTTGGAATACTTGCAACACTTGAAAAAGGGAGTCATGCGGACGAGACCGACGTTGTAGTCCCACATGACAGTGAAGTCGTTGTCTTCTCCTGGCACTTTGAACTCATACTTGAAAACTAGACAGCTCGATCAGCAAAGGCAGCCGGAGAATCTCGGCATTGGAATCACGGACCTTCAAAGCTTTCACGCCCCGTCTTCTCGAAGAAGTCCTTCTTCCCGCTGTTGTATGGAATATGGGCACATGACTCCTGGATACGTCCAAATGGCGAGACACGAAAGCGATGGACCTCGCGGCGGGATATGTCGTCCAAATTCTCAAAGGGGTAGTATTTGATGACTCCACGAGGCTTGTACTTGGATACTGGAGACGGATCCTTGGACATCTTGAGCTTTGGAACGACGGGTCGGTCAAGATATGGTGACGGAGCTCTGTCTGAGTAGCAGGTTCCCGGCGAGGACATTGCAGGACTTGGGAGGAACCGAGGGGCAGGAAGCGGCCCTGGAGGCGACGGGTTAAGAAGAGAAGATACGGAAAGCATCTTGCCGGCTGTTTGTCGGTGGAAGATGTCTCGAAGGTGGTGCTATGCTGCGATGCGGACAGGACCTTGGTGAGCCGGCGTAGGCGAACCTGTTCCTAAAAAGAGGGGGGGACGATGGAAGACTTAAGACAAGTCCTGCAGCAATAGCGAGACCAGGTGTAGAGGTAACTGCTAGGTCTTTGGCAGTCGGCAAACACTTGATGTCTTCGTTCTGGGGGTTGGCGACTCAACATCCACGGGCGTGCAGCACGCTGGCAAAGTTTTCCAGGACAAGGGGGTTCGAGATTGTCGCTTTTCTTGGAGACACGGCCAATTCTGCAACGGATCCTGCACTCCAGTACGGGGCTCGGGGCTTCTTCTTGAGTTTCGACGCTCTCGGTGCAGATTTCTTTGTTGCGGTGTCTTGGAATCGACCTCTCAGCATTGAGGTCTCCGTTTGTGACCGGCCACCGCTCTTTCTTTTGCCTTATCGAGGTGAGGCTACAAAGTGATAGATGACTGGTAAGATGGTGGAAGTGGGAGACACGGAGAGTACAGACTGAAGGCGGTCTAATATGTTTCCCTTGGAAGAGAACTCACGAGACCAAGTCTAATGAAGTGATGTTACTGCTGATGCTTGTGTGGTGGTCGCAAGTTACCGCATGTGTCGTCTCGGCGTTGAAGAACCGGGTAGGCCAAACGGCTCCGGGAAAGCTTCCATGCAGGAGGATCCGCAAGTCCGCCCAACTTGGAGAAAACTCACAAAAGCAGCCAAGCTGTGAGCCTGTCGTGTGCTAACATGAGAGGTATCTGAGCTACTGAGCCATACTGGGAGGGCCTATTTGGAAGAGGCCAGAGATCGAAGCTAGGCAGGTTTCATCAGATATCACCAGCTCAAACTTTTGGTCCGTTGAGAGGCTTCACAGAAGAATGTGGAGCTCATCCGCCAAAACTCTAGAGTCATTGGGGAAGTTTGCAAGCGCAAATACAGCAGACGCTCCCGCAAAGACCAAACAGGTATGGGTCCCGTCTTTTGGAGGCGCACTGGGGTGGGATTTGCAGAGCGGGTTCGCGGATAGGTGCATAGAGTGCCATCTGGCCGTTGACTCTAACAGCTTGTTCGAGATGGTGGAACAAGGCTGGTCATCCTGCAGTGTTGAAGATCTCAGGGCAACATAAACCTGACTCGGCACGCGCGACCGCGGCCCTGAAGAACAGAGAGTAACCAGAGTACATGCTAAAGACGCCCAGTTGCGGTTTGCCATGACTGAAAGCCTTCGCGTTAGCGGTCGATCGTGAATACTGGACTATTCCTCTCCGAATGACACGTAATCCTATGAGCGAGCGTGGATGTTGGCCTCTCGTCAGACCGCCAAAGCCGGATCATCTTCTTTGTGGCCTGGCTATGTGCATATCCGTAGGCAGACCAGTGATTTGCTAAGATAATCCTGGTTTCTTCGAGAGAAGCATGATCCGTATCATGCTTTTGTGTGGCTCCTCTTGAAGGGGGTGGCTGCAGCTGTCACCAGAAAGCTCCTTGTTCCCCCACGAGCTTGTCTGCGTACAAGCACGAAGAAAATGTCCGATGGGAAGCACAAGAGTACGGTCTATCTTGGGTTACTGCCCCTAAGATGGCGTAGCGGGTCCATCGGCTGAAGTCTTCCTTACAACAGTGGTATCGGCCAGACGGTGGAGACCTTTATTCGAATAGGTTGTCGGTCAAGCACGATCGGCCTGATGGAATCAGCCCTGGACAGATCCGACTGTCTTGACACCTTTCGCTGGGTTGCTGAAGTGATGCTACGAGTGGCAGTACTCACGAATCCACAGCATGTCGAGAATACGGAGAACGGCATTGGCCATAGTCGAGTCAATGGACCCCTTGCTTAGTGCTTCGTTAATATGGTAAGTAGGCATTGGCTTTCTGCGGCCTACCGCGCACCGCTACTTTCGACAAGCATTCAGTCAGGCGAGGTCGCGGCCCCCAGGCTGGGCAATCTTGCAAACGGACAAAATGATGAGCTGGCCGGGGTCATGGACCCTGAAAGACAGCTCATCTACTTTGCAAGGATAGAAGTAGACTTGGACGACAGCCGCTTTTCGGACCCTTGTTGTAGATTGACGAACTGATATCTAGGCGTTTGTTCAAATGTTTCGCAGCGTTAGGCGATGCCGCAAAGAGAGACGGCAACCCCGCTAGATCCTGACGACAACGAGCTGCCTTGGACCGTGGTTTTTGGTTCCAAATGTTCAGGGGCCCAATAGAGTGCCAAATCCGGCGCTGTTGAGGCTCCTGAGGGAAGTACTGGTAAAGATGCCGTCGTGGTTTCAGATGGCCATTCCCTGTCTCGGTGACACCACAGTGAGTGACAGGAGAGGGGTGGCGACGTCGCCATGCGTAGTGCGACTTAAGAATAGCAGCGGTGACGGCCGTGCGCATCGTCTTCGGGATACTTTGCTCTTTTTCCATGCAGAATTCGGGAGTAAGTCGTACACAGCGTGGATGAAAAGCGTGATTGTGTAGCTCGACCGACGGATGAGCAGCTCCACCTATGCGGCGGCCAAGAGTAAGGCCATCCGTAGTCCATCAGGCCACGGAGTCAGCAAGCAATGTTAGGGAGTGCTGGTCTCGTCGAGATCTCCTTTCGTTTCGAATCTGCAGTGAAGATTTGGTGTTCGAGTTCTCCGGGCTTGAACATGTTGATAACCGTTGTTCCTGATCACCAGAACCCGATTCTGGTCAAGGCTGTACTCTACGTTTCCAAGTAAGAGAAGCTAACATGAGGCCTCGAAATCCATTCGAAACCAACCAGGATGATGAAGGAGTCCGCCAAGCTTAAGTCGCAGGTAGCAAAGGACATAAATGTCTCTGTGATACTGGCCTGAGGAGGTGACGGCGGTCACCTCTCACAGTGCGACCTGATACCTCGTGGTTCTACGGCTCGCCCTCGATGCAAACTCGTCGTGGCCGGCGCTGCACCACTGCTGCGTTGCACGGCGTCGGAAGGAGAATAAATGTGTGGAGAAGGAAGATACTCTTGTGCGATGTCTGATGATATCTCCGAGAAGCTTT